CGGCACTCCTGTAAAGAGGCCACGGCGCAGAATTTGGGAATCACTGTATTAAGGGATTCTTCGAAACCCAGTTTAATTACACACCTACGTAGTACTTATGGATACCAATGTTTCCGAGCATCACCACTTTACACTAAGTCCAAGAAATCACTGGCCCGCAAGTTAACCATATTAGTTTTTCTGAAATTATGCTTTTATCGTAGATTTGTCTTTATATTTTGTATTATTCCAAGTCCATATTTGCATAATAGAACTAAGCTAATCTGTGGGGATCATACAGACGCCAGTAAGTCTAAATTCAGGGCCTGTCTGCAGCATTGTGTAACATCGTCAGAGCAGGGAACAATGGTTAATGATAGTTGACAAAAAAACACAAGACAAGAAAGGTGGCCGGCTTCAAACCTACCTACTTCTTATGGTCCAATTTGGTCCACTTAAGCATCTAATGCTTTGGTTGGTGGTCCTATGTTTGCCTAAATGTTTGCTAAAAAGTTAAGTGGCTGCAAATGAAGCATGAAATGGGTGCATTTGCATCCTCGTCTGTAACATTTATGCTTTTGATCTTGCAACTTTGTCGCACGTGATTGTGCTCCATTGTATGCGTGGTGTGTGAGTGCATTGCTCTTGAAATGAATGTAATGTAAGAGTGCAAACCGGATTCGAGCCAAATAAAGCCTCCTCCTCTTGCTCGGTGTTGGCTGTTTTGTTGACTCCTATCGCCTACTCATATAGTCCACATATCGAGCCTCTTGAATTAAGCGTTACTCAAATTGAGTCATGTAATTATTTGCTAAAACTGGTGACAAACACGATCCCATAGCTAAAGCTCGTGTTTGTTCGTACCCTTTGCCATTAAAGGAACTATGTACAGTGCCTCGTCTGGCTGATCAGTATCATTAATGACACTGCTTAAATTCGTACTCATTAAAATTACCGCGTGTTGATCCTGTTTGGATTGCAGGGCCTGTATGGGATCGTCTACGGGAATGTTAGTTTACATGGACTCAACACCAAAACTTACCAGCAAATCACCATTTTCTATCTCCTGCTCGTCGATTAACTTAACGAATCTGCCGCGTCTCGGCAATTTGCTTTAACTGGTTACAAATAAATCGTGATGTTTTATACATCACGCTACCCTAAATATTCACAATAATTCCAAGTTGAATTACATCTTCATGTATTTTGGGCAGACCATATGCATTCGGAGGCCTAACATCTCGCTAAAAAAATGTGTTCATTTTTCACACCGGAATCGAAGGAGATTGCCTCGGAAACAGCGTCAGCATGAATGTTTCAGTAAAGCCAATCTACAGCTGGTCAAGAGGAATTCGCCGTCGTCTTCTGGTGGAACCGAGTTTCGAATCTCTTTACTCAACACTTCTACTCGAAATGGAAGTAATCCCAACAATTCTGTAGGATCCCCACTGATTAGCTTAGTTCTATTATGCAAATATGGTCTTGGAATAATACGAAATCTAGGGACAAGCCTACGATAAAAGCATAATTTAAAAAAAAACTAATATGGTTGATTTGCCGGACCAGTGCCTTCTTGGACTTAGTGTAAAGTGATGATGCTCGGAAAAATTGGCATCCGTAAGTACTACGTAGGTCTGTAATAAAACTGGGTTTCGAAGAATCCCTTAATACAGTGATTCTCAAACTGTACGTCGCGGCGCCCCGGGGAGCCGCGAAGTATTGTAAAAGCTTTAATTTGAGAAAATGTGTAGTGATTTGCAGGCTCATCCATCACATTAATATTTAAATATTAATGTAATGTTAATAAAGTATAAAAAAATAATGAAGATACACGAGTTTTATTTTTTTCTATCTCTTACTTACGAATAGTCATACTTAGGGTAGGATGCCATGGAAAAATTTTAATTGAAAAAGGGCGCCGTGACTAGGAAAAGTTTGGTAACCACTGCCTTAATAGATTAAAGTTCCAGTACCTTTCATTTCGTTTGAAGAGGCGAGTGGAAAGTTTGAAGCCTGCCACTTTTCTTGATTTACTGTTCATTGTGAATTATCGTTAAGCATGCTATCCTGCTCTGACGATGGCAGCCACATGACGGATGAAAGCTCGGCGAGGACGCATCGGGATCGCAGGCCCGTGCGCCGAGGACCTATTCGCAAAAATCTACAATCACAGCTCCAAGGCAATCCCCCTACAGTTTCCGGTGAGACCAACTTCTGCT